TCAGTTGGAATTTCATCAGGACCAGTCGCTCTGCCATCTTTTGATGATTGTATGGCCTTTGTAACCTCGCAGCGTGTTATTAGGGGTCCGTCGCAGTTAGTAATATCGGGAGGTGAACTACTCCTATCGTCTTCGATTAGGTTCGTGACGTAATTTTCCCATTCTTTAAGTTTGTCCTCTACTTCGAATATTACTTTACCATTTTCATCCTGTAGCAATGCATTTTGTTTTTTATTGAAGATACCAGCCGCTTCTTTTACTTTTTTATACATGTTAAACGTGTCGTATCTTTTTTCGAGTTCTTCAATGTCATGACACTGTTTGGCTAGATGTTGACTCTTTGCTTCTCGTATTTTACGTCGAATCTCTTTTTGTATGCTATTGTAAAGTGTTTCGTTGGTTTTTGCTAGTCGCCGTTGTTCCATCAAATTCAGTATATCATCTGTCATCCAAGCCTGCTTTTTTGGCTTTGACCTGCCTTGTAAATTTCTCCCTACAGTTAGTCCCCCCAAAAAAAGAAAAAATTGGATACAACTCCTAATTTTCCTTCTATTCGTAGAGAATACCAGACCAGCTTGTGTTCGGGATCTATATTTCAGTTTGGAAACCCTGATCCTCCTAATGAATTCAATAAGTTTATCAGTCAGCTGAGTGCTTCACTTAAAAATTTGATCCAACAAAGTATCCAGGATTATTGTAATTCTTCCTCAAATGTAGAATCTAATCTTAAAATGTACGAAATTGAATTAGAAAATAAAATTAAAGATATTATAGGTAATCTTTTTACATAACTTTAATGGCTTCCAAAAGCATTAAAATTATTCAATGAAATATTCGTTCGCTAAATGCAAACAAATATTCTTTAAATCAATTACTTTTTGAAGAACGTTTTGACATTGCTCTTTTATCAGAAACTTGGTCCAAACCATCTGATACTGTTTGCTTCAATAATTTTAATATAGTTAATAAAAGTAGAAGTAAGGGATATGGAGGAGTTGCCGTAATTTTAGCAAATAACATTATTTATGAGCCCATTTCATTCGTTAACAATTTCAATCCTAATCTCGAAGTTTGTGGTGTAAATATTAATATTGACCAAAAAATTTATTCTATTCTGAGTGTGTATCGTCCAGCAAAAGTTAGAGTAACAATGCAAGATTACGTTAGTCTTTTTTCTCAAATTAACAATGATTGTATCATTACCGGAGACTTTAATGCTCACCATGGATTATGGGGATCCAATTTATGTTCCGTCGATGGTAATATACTAGTAGAAGCATTAGATGCATTTCCTAATCTAGTTGTTGTAAATGACGGGTCGGCTACTAGAGCTACTCCTCCAGGACATATCAAATCGGTTGTAGATCTTACTATTATAAGCTCTAGTTTATGTTCAGCCTTTGACTGGACCGTTCTTTCAGATACCTATGGATCCGATCATTTTCCCATTAGACTTTCCGTGCAGGATATAAAATTTGAAAACACAATTTTCACATCTTCAATTAAATGGTCCATGTCCAATGCAAATTGGGAAAAATTTAGAGATTCTGTAGAGAGCACCTTCAGATACGAATCAAAGACAAACGAAACCAATGAAATGATATTCTTTTTATTAGATTCTATTACTACTGCAGCCAACAAATCTTTTAAAATTATCAAACCCTCAGTAAAATCTTTTAAAACTCCACCATGGTGGGATGATGAATGTCTCACAGTTTCGAATGCAAGGAAAAATTCTTTTAAAATGTATAAATCCAATCTTACCCTTTCAAACTTTATTGAATATAAGAGGAATGAAGCTATGTGTAAACGCACATTCCGCTCAAAAGCCAAATCTAGTTGGGCTCGATTTTGTTCCTCACTTAGTAGGCAAACTTCACCCTCAGAGCTTTGGAAAAGGGTAAACAAAATTCAAGGTAAGAAAAAGTACACCGCTAATAATGAAGACATGGTAGAAAGTCTTTTTAGAAAAATCTCTCCAGATTATGTCCATCTACCAGTATTTATGCCGAGTATCTCCACTAATGATCACTTTTTACTAACCCCCATTTCAGCTGACGAACTTAAAGCAAATATTAAGAGTTCTAAAAATACAGCTCCTGGTATTGACGGCATTAACTACAGCATGCTTTTAAACCTGCCAGTAATTGCCATACATTATCTGTGCAAAATATACAACAATATTTTACTTAAAGGAGACAACTGTGATTCTCTTAAACAATGCTTGGTTATTCCTATACCCAAAGTAAATCAGCGTACTGCCCTAAGACCTATCTCTCTTACGTCTTGTTTGCTTAAAACATTTGAACGAATTATGAAAAGCAGATTAGAATGGTGGTGTGAAAACAAAAATATTTTCCCAGTTAGTCAATATGGCTTTCGTAGAAATAAAGGGACTATGGATTGTGTGTCTCAATTAACGACTGATATTCAGTTATCCTTCTCAAATAATAATTATCTATCTGCCATATTTCTTGATATTTCAGGAGCTTATGATAACGTCAATTTAAATCTATTATTCGAAAAACTAAAGCACATAGGTATTCCACCTTTGTGTTCATATGTGTTAGTAAACCTATTTCTGAATAGACAGGTATTCATTCGATGTAATGATAGATTGATTGGCCCGAGAGTAGTGCATCAAGGTCTACCGCAAGGCTCTGTCCTTAGCCCCCTGTTGTTTAATTTATACACCGTAGATCTTCACAATATAGGCATTAAATGCAATATATTACAATATGCGGACGACTTCTGCTTTTACACTGTGAATAATTCATACCAACAAAGTATTAACTCAATAAAAACTATTATGTGTGACGCAAGAGAGTATTTCTTTAAACAAGGGTTTGAGCTTACTACGAAGAAATCAGCTGTGGTATTTTTTACGCGACATCGTTTACCAGTTATATCCAGCATTATGTTTAACAGCCTAAGTATACCCGTTCACAATCACTACACTTATCTTGGTATTACATTAGACACCAAGTTAACATGGGACGAACACATTAACGAGTGCTTAATGAAATGTGAGAAAAGTCTTAATATTCTTAAAGTAGTTAATCGCTATCGATGGGGTGCCGACCCCAAGATTAACTTAATGTTTTATCGTGCATACACCAGATCCATTCTCGACTATGGATGCTTTTTATACGGATCTGCCACAAATAGTCGTCTTAAAAAACTAGACCGCCTTCAGTATAAGGCTCTGCGATTAGTTTTAGGGGCGCTCAAATCTACACCTACAGAGAATCTTCTAGCCGAATCTATGGAACCTCCCTTACATTTAAGACGACTATTTTTAGCTGAAAAATTTATTCTCAAATGCCAGTCTTACAATCAAACTGAGCTACTACAAAAAATATGTGATATTGCTGTTTCTAATCTAGTCGACAAATGGTGGCATAACAGAAATTCTCCTATTCTGGCAGTGGCTTATCCTAATGTTTCTCAACGTCTAAACACTCCGTGTGACTTGACATTCTTTCAATCGAATTTCAATGTTTCTTACGCCAAAGTCAATGTTTGGTTTCCCAATTTTGACAATGAGAATACAGTTGATTTTCAGCATCAGATAGCCAAGCTTAATAATCCATGCAGGATCTTCACGGATGGTTCTAAATCAAGATTGGGAGTCGGCTGTGCTGTATATATTCCGGATCACAAAGAATCCCTAATGTTCAAGTTAGATAAACAATGCTCTATATACTCTGCAGAAATGTTCGCAATTCATAAAGCTCTAGAATGGGCGGTCAACAAAAAAATTTCTAACCACCAAGTAGTAATTATATCAGATTCAATGTCTGCGTTATTAGCTTTAGAAAACTCACGTCAACATTTATATAAAAATAGTCTTGTCGTTAAAATTTTAGAAAACCAACTTAAGCTGCTGGAAGAACATACTACTGTACATTTCGTCTGGGTAAAGGGACACTTTGGTATTTCCGGTAACCTCAAAGCAGATTTTTATGCTAAAGAGGCAATCTTAAAAGGATCAGAAATAAATTGGCTAGATAGAAGCGATCTAACAGCCACTTGCAAGAAAAGTCTAAAACAAAATTGGGACATTGAATGGTTTGCTTTCTGTAATCGAAGCAATAATCTTTATACAAAAATTCATCCAGTTTTACCTACTGAGCCGTTTGCCGTAAGAAGTTACCCCAATAGAAATATTTATTCCATGTTTGTTAGATGTCTCTTTAACCATGCCACTGTCAAGACATACCTCTATAGACTAAATCTATCCGAATCAGAACTTTGTGATTGCAATGGTTACGTTGATGATATTAATCATTGGTTGTTTGGATGCAAGCATAATGATGATGCAATTAAATATTTGATGCACACCCTGTCTCAAGAACAAATACCTTTACCACAAAACCAAACTTCTCTTTTATACTTGTCTCGACGAAACCATAAAATACAACAAATTATTTGGGAATTTTTAAAAAGGACTAAGAGAAAAATCTAACTTGGATGAATGAGTCGGCTTGAATGTGTTTAGCAATTATTGTTTTTATAATTAATCTTATGTAATATTAAGTACCTCCCTGTAAAATACGAACATTGTTATTTAAAAAATTAAAAAATATATATGTTATAATAAAATTAAAAAAAAAAAAAAAAAAAAAAAAAAAAATTATATAAATAAAATTAAAAAAATATATATATAAATAAAAAATCATATACAAAAAAACTGAAAAATTATTAAAAAAAAATTAAAGAAAAAAAAGGAAAAAAGAAAAAAAATAAAGAAAAAAAAAAAAAAAAAAAAAAAAAAAGAAAAAAAAATAAAAAATAAAAAAAAACGATCACAAAGAAGGCCTAAACCTCCGAGGTGTTGAACCGGGTTTATGTCTTAGCGCTGTGACAATTATTAATTATTAGCATTTAGTATTAGTATTTAGTATTATTTGTATATTTCTTATTTGTAAATTAATTTAAGTTGGTTAGGGTCCTGAATGAAGAGTTTAAATAGAGGTCAATTTAATGTTTCCACTTCCTTTTTGTATTTTTTTTTATTTTTATACAACAATGCCTATATATGTATGTGCGTGCATAAGTTTGTATATGTGCTGCGCATGTGTATATAGTATTTAATATTGTAGCAAACAGTACTTATTATAATACCGTGGCTGAATGGATCAATAATCCAAAGCCATTAATAAAAAAAACTGTCTCCCAGCAAAGTGGTAAGCTGTTTATATTGTTATGATTGCTACCGAATATGGTAGGCAAAAAAAAATTTTTACAACTACACCCAAGGGTATGGGGACTAATTTATTCCTTTCCTAAAAACGCATCCCTTTAAATAGAAGGACTACGTGGTTTTTTAAAATTTGGAGGTTTATTTCCTTTTAGCACTCTTTTTTCGACATAATCAATAGCCTGATTGTGCAAACTCGCTATAAAGATGAGCTTGCGGCTCAATAATGCACATTTTAAACATATAAATTATGTAAATTAAAAATTACCCGAATTAACCTCATTAAGTTTGGCGGATACTTTATTTTGTGTTACTTATATGGTATTTACTAAAAAAATCTTACCTTGACATAATTGATAAGCGTTAAGTCATCTTCGGGGTATTTTAAAATTGCACTAACTTTACAGTATTGGTTACCACTTAAAACGCATTCTGTGTAGTTCCCTATTTCAAACGTATTTGGTAGATCCATGTTGATGCTAAGCTAAAAATTAAACCACATTTTATTTAATTATGTTAGTTTATTTAATCTAAAATACGTTTTTATTTTTAATATTTAGAAAATAGTTTCTCAATATTGTTTTATACAGCATTCTCTACAAACAATATAAAAGTCAGTTTGATGAACTTAGTATTTCTTACTAAATCTGAATTAAAATATAATAAAATTAGATTCTTTAGTTTTGTACGGTTCGCCTTTAGGTCCGTGAATTACTGCCATCAAAACTGCAATAAATATAGAAAAACTGACCATGAACTTGGACTCACCTAAATTAAAAATATGTGGAACAATATGAGACGAAAAGTTTTACTACTAGAAACTATAACTAGAAATAAGAAATAAATTTTGTAAGTATCTTTGATATCAGAATTTTTTCAAACAGTAAGAAGCGGAGACCTCAGCGATCTTAGAGTTCCGCTCAGACTGTCTCAGACCTGTATTGAACTAGAAAGTTAGTCGTAACCTATTCTATTGTATATTAGGAAATCCAATGTCTAGATCTGGTATACGATAATTGGGCTCTTCCGCACAAATTACATTCATTTTCAGAGCTTATTCCTTTTGTTTTTATTTTATATAAAGTAAACTTAAAAATGAAACACTGAATATATAAAAAATATAACGGATTCATTATTTACATGAATAAACGCTTTATAATATTTTAGTAACCTGCATATTTCGATCCGTAAACTCTAGTCGCAATAATATTTTTCTCTGTTGGAAAATGATTTTAAACTTTCAAGTAATTGTTTTTTAAAATAATAATCTACATAATATATATCATTTTCCAGCATATATTCCTGGATTCTTTCCTTCAACTTCACCTTCAAGTTTGGTGTCAGTAGGACATGGAGCTTTATTCAGCCTACGACTGTGGTAGCTGGCATCCATCATAATTGCACTGTTTGGTGGTATATTTGACCATACCTTTGTTTAGAACGAGTTTTCAAATGATTCTAACGGGGTGTCATCATGATATTCGACACGGAGTCCTAAATGTATTTGCATGACAAGGCTAAAGCATTAGATATAAAACCATTTTTTTGTTCCTGCATGGATTATTCTAGTTCGTTTTCCTTTATTTGGTGAAGCTTTTATTTTACAGTGACTAAAAAAATCTGCCCAACCACATTCTAGAACGTCAAGGGTGTCAAACCACGTCCCAACAAGATAAACAATTTCTCTTCCACTTTCTCTGTATTTATAAATTTGAATTAAAAATTTCGTCCTCCATATTTGTAGACAAATAGTTTTTATAATTACTTAGTGTTTATCGATTGTTTTTATTTTAAAGCCGTTTTTTAAAAGACATTGTCTTACTGTCTCATGCAGCACTTGATTTATGTGTCGTCTTTCTGTAACTTTTGCATGTTATAAAATTTTCTTCTAATGCTCTCCACATCACTCCGGTCTAGTTTCCTAAACATACCAGCGTCTTTTTTTTTGCTTCTACTTACATGCATTACTGCTATCGGAATGCAGACTCGTGCGCGAACGTCGCATAGCTTTCCATTGTGTGGTTATTGTTGCTTTGTTGCTTTGTTGCTGTTATTGAGCCAAGACGTCTTGGTATTACTTTGATTTGTTTTGTAGTTTTTGCTTGGTTTTATTCGGTTCTTTGATGGAAACTCAAACCGTAGAGTGTTCTGACTCGGCCAGAAAGAACCTGAAAGTTGCAAAAGAGCACGAGAAAAGAGGCAAAGGAAAATCTACTGAAGACTGTATTTTTTATATTCTTTGAAAACTTTGTGTTATATGCAATGGCGGATTAAAGTTGTAGCCTGAAGTCAATGTGAGAACAACAGGCTCATTGATTTTTAGAATTTAAATTTTTTTTTAACCGATTCATATTGCATTTAGAATATAATATTATGGGTAGTATATTTTTATCTAACATAAAACGCCGGTTACTTGAAGACAATTTTTGCTACTTGGGTTTAAACCGATGTGTATCATCGATAACTGCATTAAGGTATTTTGACAAATATTGTTCAGGTGGATTGCAGAAAGAAAATAACTTGCAATCACGGAAAGAAGGAAGAACTTACATACCCTGACCAAAAATATTTTCACAGCCAATTTTACAAAACTAAAAAAAATCAAACAAGTTAAAAATATATCAAGACTCGTTTATTTTAAAGTATTCAAAGACGTTTAAACCAAGTCCGTATGTACAAACACATGAACATATATAAAGAAAAGAGTCCGTGTGTATAAAAAGGCGTTTTTAGATACATTGAGGATCAAGCCAAATCGTTTATTGGGTGTTCTAACCAGAAACTTCAACACCGGTGATCTACCACAAGAAAAAAGGGCAGGAATCGAAAGCGCATTTTATTTTTAGAAAAAAGGGAATCAGCTTTAACTTTCATCAAAAAGTTTAATGTACTTGAAAATTACTATTGTAAGTTCAAAATTACTTCTCGTCAGTATCTGAGTTCAGAGCTGAAGATTAAGAAAATGTGGCGCCTTTACAACACTGAGACCCAAGAGAAGGACCGGGTGAAAGAATCGTATTTTAGATATATTTTTATTACAAATTTTTACTTATTATTTGGTAGCTTAAGAACTGATGAATGCTCCACATGCCTTTCCTTGGATTAAAGAATTAGGAATTGTGATAACATACAAATAAAACATAACATGATAATGTACAAACGAAACAAACTTAATGGCGCAAAAAGAGTGCACAAGTTAAAAACAAAGGCTTTCTATCAGCTTCTAAAAGAAAAACGGGACGACTTATTGATCGTATCCATCGATTGCCAAAAAACTCAAGTTCTACCAAAAGTGACAGAACAAAGCTCTTATTACTTAAGACAATTCTATACCTACAATTTAAACATTGTAGTTGGTAACTCAAAATTTCACGAAACCAAAGAATATGTATTCATATACTACTAAATAAAATACCAACAAGGAAAAAGTGCAAATGAAATAACATCTGCTGTTTTTGATTGCCTAATGAAATTGAACATTTCGAAAACTGTGAAAACTATGCGCCTGGCCACCGACGGATGTGATGGGCAAAATACAAATTATTTTATGATGAGTATGGTAGTGGTTTGGCTGCTGTTAAAAAAGCTCCTACAATTGTGGAAAGAGCCGAGTTTGTGTTTCCCATAGTGGGCCATTCTTTTCTCCTATCCCATCAGGTATTTGGTTGAATCGAGAAGAAGATAAAAAAACCAGTGATCATTGAGCCGGCTGAACATGTTACAGTTTTTTTCACTATGGAACTGTGATTCCACTGTATGACTTAAAATATGATTGGAAATCAAACTTCAATATGGTGGGACGTCCTACTCAGTGGCACTTCCACTTCAATGCTTAGAAAAGGTTCCAATTAAAATAAAGTTCCAAGGGCAACGATGTTCTTATCAAAGAAGAGGTTAACTACAGATCAAATGTTTGCCATTATAAGAAGTTTTGTAAGAAGGGACGCAATTTTCAAGGTGTAAATGATCCTTGGCTTAATGGTACAGTAACAGGGACATTTTTAGAACTACAAGCCAGTAATGTAAGAAAGTTACTGAATTTTGGAGAAGACTAGAGGTCTTTAGACACTCTTGAATATTGCAAAAGGATCCTAGAAGTGATCAGTTGGCAGCTGAAGAGAACCAAAACGATGACGATATTTGCCAGCACCTCACTGAAGAAGACGGTCTAGTAATCTAACCAGTCAATTTCGTTACATTCTAATAAACAAAATTAAAAACATAAAAACTGCATTTTTTTTATTTTATTTTTCTGGTAAATTAAAATTTAATATAATAATTTAATATTAGACAGCTCAAACTTATGCAAATAACTTCTTTTCTTGATACTTAGTTTCAAATCTATATAAATCAGTTACAGTTTATTTCAAAACAAAATACATAAACCACATTGGTTGCAAAACCAGATACATTACTAAAGTTGGTTCCAAAACCAGGTAGATCCAAAAAATAATTTATTTTTTCAAAAACGAATTATTGGTTAAAAGTGAAAATACAGTCATGCATGTAAACATTTATGACCAATTTATATAAAATATTTAAAAAATAAATAAATAGAAAACAAGTGTCTCCTTCTTCCTGAACAATTTGTAAAAAGTGACTTACCTGGTTTTGAAACTGGACGGCATAAGAGTTGTGTTCTATCTGTCAAACAAACTAAAGCTGTATGGAATGCGGAGCACAAACGGACAACGAAAGATGGACGAGAAACAATCTACATTAGAGACCACAAGAACACAGTAGTAGCAGAAAAAGACCACAAAAACGGTGGCTAGGTGACATCAAAGCAAAAGAGGAGAGAAACTGACATCAAATAGAATAAAATAGAGATGTAGATAACTCTTGGGGAGCCCTTTGTTTAGGAGTTAATGTGTATATGGGTATAAAAAGTAAATGTGTATTAAATAAATTTACCTTAGTATTGTTTGTTGAATGTTTGTAATTAAAAAGCCATGACTGTTAACTAACTAACTGATACCGAATAGTATATAATAGTGTATTATGTGTGTATATAATACCAAAATAAGTAGTTGTTTATTTTCAAATTAAACTTACACATATATCTCTTTATACAATCTAAATATAATTTAAACAATCTAAAATATAAATCTTTTATTGATCATTTCCTTTTGTGTACATTTCCTATCATGAATGGCTTATCACTTCCTGATTCAATAGACATAAAAAAATTTAATTTTTAATTAATAAAATTAATTAAATTTACATAATTAAGTAACGAAATGTTTGGAGATAAGATTATTTGGTTCTTTCAACGAAACATATTTATAGTAAATACTAACTTAACTGTTTTAATAAGTATTTTATCTCTTTTTAAATCATATTCAATGATGTTTAAACATTATTTTGCAATAACCAAATGACAAACTTGTCCAGAAGAAATAAAAGTTTTTTAAGGCTGTCATAAAGGTAATGTTGATTTTTTTTTATTTAAACAAAAATAACCCTGCATCAACTACTAAGGCCGTCCGTAGATTGG